GGAAGCTTCCACCCTTCCCAATTTACCTACTGACGTTATCTAAGCGGATAAATGCCCGCATCCGATCATTTGACGCGATTATGCTTCATCGTCATGTCACCGTCCAGCTATCTTGGGACTAGTAGAGCAAATTCGGAGAAGAGGGTGACAGCAGGAGACATGCGCTGCTGAATACTAAAAGTACCGTAAATAAAGTGGTTATAAAAAAGAAGCACGCATGCGAACAGCTGGTGTGCGGAGGCTGAAAAATCATATGCAGAAGTGGAGGATGGAGAAAAAAGTGACCACCCGTAACAGCAAACCAGGTTGGGGCAAACAAAAGGGAGGTAAAGACCACAACAGTAATCTAGAGCGAGTGGACTGTGTGCACGTGGACAGAAGTCAGTTTGCAGGAGTAGGCTAAACTTAGCAGAAAGGTGGCGGAAGCAAGGTCCAAGTGAAAACGGGTTGAGACGAAGGCGCGTAGCCAGTGCCTAACAAAGAGTACATGTAGATACCTTCTGATGTTTAGAACACTAATGAAGATGGAAAGTCAGTTGATGCGCTTTAGGGTACCCGCCACGTATCTGAATTGCGGCACACATTTCAATTCAAACAACTGGGATCCCAGCATGGAAGTGTGGTGGGTCAATCTGCCGCGGACCGCGTTGTAAGAATGACAATAAATAACACTGTTAAGAAAACGAGGCAAAACGCAGAATAAAAAATGGAAGTAAGAAAAAAGTGTGTAAAACTAGTGGGAACGGGATGAAAATTAACAGCTAGGTGCGAGAAGCCAAAGCTAGGAACGCCACTGACTGCGCGATTGCGCAACTTTTGAGACGGTCTGCAACCACTGATGTGAATCACCCCATGGCCCGATCCACGAAGATGGCACGTACCAGACTGACCACTTTCTCGGTCAGTTTCTTCATGCACTTATGCCACGTCCCCCTAGCGGTTTCGCCCAAGTTGGTGCAGCCACGGCGTATAAGGCGTTGCAGGTCGATCAATGGGCATACGGAGGACATGACCTAGCCAACGTAAGCACTGAAGTGAGACACCAGAGGGATGCTTGCCAGAAAACATCTGGTGGAACTCAGCAATACTCACTTGGACTTCCCATCAGATGTCAGCAACATGCTGTAAGCACCGATGATCAAAGAAGGACAAAAGTTTAATGTCTCCAGTGAAAACTGGCCAGGCCTCTGATCCCTAGAGTGACACCGGCCTTATCGCAACGCTAACTGCAGTATACAATCTCAATGGAAAGTTTAGGCATTTCGATCACTATGACTGTAGCCGAAGTGAAAATTTTTGGTTGTTACCTCCCAACACTTCACGGCACAATCGGTTTCGTGCTTGGAATCTTCAGGTAGAGAGAGAGAGAGCAAGGGCTGGAAGTGGAATATGGGACGTAGCGGCTTACAGCGGACGGCTTGGAAGTGTCTCGCGGTATTCAGTGTCTGCCACTACGTCTCGGGTTCTAGCCCATCTCCGATTATCCCTCTACGTGAGGAGTCCAAACAAGGAGGAAACTGGCCAGTCAGCTGTTGTGTGTGTCGGGTGGAGTAACAACAACAATAATTATGTGAAAAGAACCTCGACTATAAAAGAGACTTGAGTGAATGAACAGAGGGGAGGATTTAGGCGGTGTTTGAGCAGGGACTACCAGGGTATCAACTGACATCCCATTGTTTGAGGGCGAGTTCAGTGATAGTGGTTGTACTGTTATCGGCTCTAACGAAGCTTAACTAATGGCACTAGAGATCTAAGTTGTAGTGAGTTGCTGCGGTGCAGAGGAAGGCAGAAGTAAAACAACCGTAAAACACCGAAATCGGAATGAGATATACCACGTCAAAGGGTATGCGCCTTGAAGGTACTCGAGACCACATCAAGCCGAAAACGTTACGAGTAGACCCGGGATCAGAAGATAAAAAGGGCATTACCAGTACGCTGGTGCGCAGTACCGACACTTCGCTGCCGCGCAAGCACCGATAGTTGCATGTGGGCTAAGGATACTGCGAAGGTTGCCCACTCCCTACGCAGGCTCGAATTCGCGCCTTCGGATTACAAGGCAGGCTTGTGATCTTTAGGATAAAAGCAGGCGGGATTGGAAAATATCGGTGGCCAGAAGGCATTCAGGATACTGTGGAGCATTAATGCAAAACCAATAACACAACGCCGCCATATTTCGTAACGTGAATAGGACTCCGCAAGCATAAGTAAAAATGTCTATGCCTCGTTGCGGTAGGGGAAATTTGAGTTCAAAAATGTGACTGGTCCGTACCGATCATGAAATGCGTGAGCTCTCCCTTGGATGTTATCAGACATCGTCGTTTCACCGGAATATCACTTACGCTACTTATTGCGGATATACAGGAGACACTGTGTCTGGTTGAATTCTGTAGGTAGTCGAACTATCGCAATACATGTATGGCCGCGTTCTGCGGAACTTAGAGTGCATTGGGTGATGGGAGCACAAAGTTTCGGGCAGATGAAATTCGATGAGTTAGTCAACCTACGTGCGGTCAGACATACGCTGGTCGAAAACCACTGCGCAGGATAGCAGGCCAGAAGTAAACGCAATTTTATCAACAAGACACAGACTTGGCAAATAATAGCTAGCCTTCTGTGAAGGTTTGTCGGCAGGAATACTGATTGTAATGCGCTGTGACACAACGAACGCCAAAATGTAGAAAGCAGGGTGACGAAAGGAAAAATAAAATTGTTCGCGTAGACGGTTTTCGTCCATTTACACCTGATGGAGTAAGAAAGCTTTAGAGTCGACGGAGTGTGTGCATAAAAAGCAATCAATGTTGGCGCAATGCAGTATCCGGAATGGGCCAAAAACATGGCTGAGCGTAAGACAAAAGGCTTCGTCACACCACGTTGAGTATTACCGGAAACACTTAAAGATCTAGCGCATCATCGACTAGACTGAAAATTCCCCGCAATTTCTGTCTACGGCGTTGCAACCGAAATTAAGATTTGTTGTGCGCACAGCAGCTGGTAAATTCGCCAATGAAAACATGGCATTTTCTGCGTCAGCTGGTGTGCCGATTGTTGGGGACATAACGGTAAAACTAGGTGTACAGATGAGTAGTTTTCATTGCTCAGATGAATCCGTTTTGATATGAAAAGGTGCCCTTTCCAGTAGCCATGACCAAAGTTTCGTAAAAATATGTTACAATGTGTGAAGTAAGGTCACCAATGGATAAATAAAAGCCCAGCTTTCTATTTAGTCAACTTATGCTGGCTAACCACGGTCCCTGTGCAAAAGCGTATTGAATCTAAGCAACATGATTTATGAGAGGGATGCTTCCGATGCACTCGTCCAAGTTGAGACTGCGTGTCGTAATCCATAAGAGTGCTACAAAAATTCCCCCTTCAATCAGTCATTCACCGTTATGACAAGTGTAGGAGGCCGAGGCTCGGTGGCTTGGGTGGAAGGCTTCGATTAACCCCTTGCTATCCTCGCTATCTCTACCTGACGAATGCGAACAAGAATGAAACCAATATGTGTTCGGATGTTGCTCCCCACAACATTGTGGCACTGTTGAGGGAAGTAACATCCAAACACCCCCATGTCAGATACGGTACTTGTGATAGGAATGACTGAGGTTTACTTTAAAGTGAACCTGTCTCAATTGGGATTACGTGTCGCAATCCACTACACACGGCGTGTACTTCAACTCCAGCGTTGAAGGACGAAACCAGTTGTGGAGTGCAGGGTTGTGAGTGGAAAATATCTGACATTCCTCTCGTTCACACACACACGCATATATATATATATATATATATATATATATATATATATATATATATATATATATGAAACAGTGCATAGTAGCGAACTCCATGGTGTTCTTATAGTAAGTTTATGGCCGCAATCGGCTAAATGTTTCAGCATTCACTTTCTCCAGTTATTGCAATTTATTGCCATGCTTATGGCGATTTGATTCATGATGAGCAGATTCATAGCGCATCGGTGACCAACTGGGCTGACGATTGAAACAGTTTCAATCACACACTATTGGTTAGATGTCGGTCGCAGTAAATGGCAGAAATCAGACTCAGATTTTGGACACAGAAGCTGGCTAGTCGAACAATCTCCTCGTGGTGCTAGCTGGGTGGGTCGGATTTATTCTGTTCCAGCAAATAATTCGGCGGCAGTGGTTCCAGGACTTGGCTGGTTTGCAACTGACAAGTGTTCTCCCAATAAAAAGCCACAAATGCCTGTTTCACAACACTGTGACGTAGCGGTTGTGACTCGCCACCAAATAAAGTCATTCCCTTGCTTATCCAGGCAAGCGCTCTAAGTACACAAACAACAAGCATATCTTTAACAGTGGAGACAGGTTCAAACGCGAGCAAAAGTGCAGGAAAGCATTTACAAATCCCATAAACACGGCTACATACGCCTACATGCACACACACACACACATTTATATTTCAACATATGTGACAATCCTATCGTTCCACTGCACATTTACAGATCACATTTTGTACTCTTACCATGACCATGACTGTACAAGCGTGCCTCGCGTAGTCGAGAATAAACACATTATTACTGCCCAACATTTCTAACGCCACATTCGATACGGTTCATAGCAAGTTCATTTGAAGCGTCATTTGCATGGTTGGGTTGTGACAGCCACATATTGGACCGCAATTAGCGTTGAAGAGTAAATCTCGTTTAGATCAGTCAATGGCGCCGTGTGTGAAACAAGTATCGCGATCCAGACTGATATGGAGTGTCGCAAGTTATTCGTAAAACAGATGATTCAAATGACCCCAAAAGGGCTACTCGTTGCGAGTTGTTTAGTACGCATATCGAATTTGTGTCAAATGTGCCACCCATGGGAATCCGACTGGAGTGGGAGGTTTGCAGCGAAGAATCAAATATCTCATCATACACATAGTCAGTGACGCCAAGTGTTTGTAAACAAGGAACAGTGAGTAAGGAGTGAAAACAAAAGTGGATATGCTTACACGCACGGGGTAAGAGGTAAACTCACATTCGTCTTCACGTGAGGGTTTGGTAAAAGTTGCAGTCAATTGCGAAAACTCGGCGTCCGCACCGGCTGCTTCATCACCAAAGGCAGATATGAGGGCTGGATGGAGATGAAAGAATATAAGTAGAAACAGGGATTCATAAAATAGTAATACCAGATAGCCTTAGAAACTTAGTTTAGAAGAGAAACTAAATGAATTGCGAAATCATGTAAACGAGAAGCAACAGAGTCCAAACACCAAGGAAGATTGTATACATTTTTGTGACCCAGGGAAGGATTAAAAGCCAAGCCAAAGTCGAATGAATTTGGAGCTTGGTGGCAGGCCAAACACCATTTCACTGGTGTCCCAATGAACAAGAGCAGTGCAGTTAACAGCAATAATTCATCTTGAAGGAGTACGCCAATCATCTAACAGACTTGAACCCCTTATAGGTTGGAAAAGGAAAATATGTAGAAATAAAATGCGCATTGACTGCTTGAGTAAATGCAACGTCCCGGTGGTCTTCCAGAATTTAAGAGTGCATTGGCTGCTTGAGCACCATCCAAACTTTCGCTCACGGTTCACTAAAATGAAGACCGGAGTGGTTTTCAAAATGCGTAACGTGGGAAGCCGAGGACGAGCCCATCAATTGTATTCCCCTGACCGATGATAACAGTAGTTCGCTTAAGTAGGCTACGTTGCATGCGAGGTGCCAATTACATGAGATGCAATTGGGTATGACGATGAGTAAATAAGGAAGGGTCGACAAACAAGTGAAGCAGCAAAAGCATCAAGGTCTAATGTGCAAGTGCGTTAAAGTCGCCGAGAAAGCAGTATGTGAATATACGATGTTTGCCCCAAAATAAATCGTCGATGTGTTTCGCGAAATGACATAAAGCAGTGTTTACTCTGAGCATCAGACGGTGAATTACATAGCTCAGCTCCGCAACATTCCACCAAAGCTAAGCGCGGTAAACAATTTTCACAATTGCAGCATTAGCTGAATAGTACGAGATCACAAATCACCACAGACTCAGTGACTCGTGTGGCTTAAAGATGGTCTATCACGTGAAAAACTCGTGATCCGATGAGCAACATAACTTGCTGAAATAGTCTTATGGCTTTAAAAATGATCAGGAACTTGACAATAGGTTTTCACCAGTACCTGCTTAAGGCATCATGACAGAGAGCTGGAGGCTGAGTCAAATGATTAGTAAAAATGAAGGGTTTAGGGCGCGTTTGTGTCTTACGCACTAGTGGTTTTGACAGCCCTACTGTGGACTCCAATCCGATAAACTAGAAAAGACAACATCCAATTGATTCGCCAGTGGCTTCATCTCAAGCTATTAGATCGATAATTGCCCCCCCCCTCCACCAAGTGTTAGCACGAACATTATAAACCTCTGCCAGATAAAGTCAACGAGCATAAGTAGTAAGCGCCCAAACCCACGAAACACATTCAGCCTGAACGAAACGAGTGACTCGGCCACCGTCCCCTGATACTCACCGGCATATATCCCATTGATGTGTTCACTGATGCCGATGGATACGATAAACGAGGGCCAAAGACCCGAAGGTGCCTCAGATCTTCAGAGATAGAGAACCATGCCTTGCACCTTACGGCAACACTGTGAACGTGTGCTAGGAAACCGTTTCTGGGGACAGAGGTGCAGGAGATTCCCGAATAAAGCTCTAGCTTTCGTAGACAGTCGCAACGAGACCGAACGGTAACGTGATGCGACAGTTTTCGTACCTCTTCCACTCATCGAGCTATTCCGAGTGGTACCTCCGGGCTTCTTGAGCTACTCTTACCAAGTTGATCAATGGTAGGAAGTCAGAAAACTCAGCCTCCGGGTCCCCCAGGCAGAGTTGAAAATGGGATGGGGTTCAGTTCCGTAAAACCAAATCATTGCGGACAGGCTACTGGTTGAGGACTCTAATCGTTATCCAGTCTATGTCTGGGAGCACTGGCAGTACTTCAGGCCAATTATAATCAAAATCATTTCATCAAACTGCAAGCACATTTTGGATCGCCTGTAGCGCAGTTTATCAAGGGCCACCTTGTCTGCTGCATATAGCAGGGCGGATAAGCGAAAACGTGCTACTGCTGGCACTCCCTTCTTTATTTCACTTTTATCCTACTCCTCGCCCAACCTAAATTTCTAACCATCCTTCTACACTTCCCAGCTTAATGAACAGCGGCCGCAATACAACAGATGTTATACCATCTACAGCTAGCTTCTCGCATCACGCATTGGACGTCTATCAGCGACAGCAACCACAAAGCCACGCTGTTCAGTTTCTCTGACTGCATTCAACATTCACATCAAGAAAATAGGGCAACAGGCTTTACTTGCACGCACGTTAGAGACACTGGGTATTGACGTGTGTTGCGGAGCCGTGATTGTTAAACTACCTGCACCCCATTTGTCTTCGCACCATTGGTTGCACGCACCCGGAGACGCTGATGCGGCAAGTACTGGTCAAGCTGGGGTGCACATTGTTCTCAGACCCAAGGCTAAATAATGGTTAATTGTTTGGATTCTTGTTGATACACGATATAGCGTTTGTTTGTGGTTTCTGCTTATGTCCCCACCGATTGCAGTAATGTGGCTGCAAACGACACCTACCACGAACTGAATACGCTGCGTTGCAGTCACCAGTTTAAACAACGCAGATGTCGCAGGAGACATAATTGCGTCAGTAAGTCGTCTGGACTCTTCAGAAACTCAGTCGGATGGTAAGTATGGGGGTAACCCAGAACGGAGGGATAACGACGAACGACTTTTGCAACTGTGTGCGGAGCACCGGCTGTTTCTTAGTAGTAGTGCCTTTAAACAGCGGGCGCCGAATTGCCACTTGGCATCCTCCTGTAGCTGACCAGCGATGGACCCAAACAGATCACATTGCAGGTGGAGTGGTTACATCCTGGAGTACTTGCGTTGACTCTGATCATTTCTTGGTACATTGTCGCTTTTCCATGAACGATGTCGGCAGGTGCACCAAACGTCTCCGTCTACTGGCAACTCGCCGTCGGTCAGACAGATGCACTGCGTACCGTACTTTCAACTACTTGTCCTACTGACACTGAGCTTCAGTGGAAGAGGATTTCGGCCGCCATACACGATGCATGAGTCTCTGCCTGCGGCATTAACAGTAGTCACAGCACCAGGCGTTGGATATCCGAAGTCGGTGGATCTGTTGGGATCCAGAACCCCCGGGTGTCCGGGGTCCCAGGGAGGAGTAACACCTCTGGTAGGGGACTCGCCTTACCGTCCAGAGTAGTTGGCCTATCCTTGGTCTCCACCTGTCAATCAGCTCTTACATGTGGCTCCAAGAAGCTGCTTGCATGCGGCAGAGGCCACACACCGGTCAACCGGCAGGCAGGCGGGTTAAGCCAGGTGAGGATAGCCGGGGATACTATTCCCGGTGACTTTGTACTCGCGTGCGACGTCAGTCCAGACAAATGGGCAGAAGAGATCAACCCTTGATCCAACGGCCAGAAGTTAAAACAATTTCCAAAATCCCTGCTGCCTTTCAGGTAGCACTTGGCTGTGCAAAGGCTAGAGGTGAAACCTCCAACAAAAGCCGGATGAGGTTGTCATGTCATGGCGTGCCGGTTAAACTCGTTAACTTGAGGTCATAGTACCGTTGCACGAAGTCCCGGATTCGGGTCTATGGAGAAGAAACAGAGAAATTTGACATCAATACTGGAGTCCGGCAGGGTTGCTCACTTTTTCCAGTGCTGTTCAACTTCGCAGTCGACTGGGTTATGCATCATGCCCTTGAGCGATATCGTGGTGTTCAAGTTAGCCCTGACTTCTGGCTGTCAGATCTAGAATTTGCGGACGATATCGCTATCCTTGCAAAAGATGCTATATCACTACAGTAACTGCTAAATCGGGTTGACCAATCAGCCTCTATGATCGGCCTCGAAATTAATATCAGCAAGAGGAAATAGTTCTCATCGTTAGCCACCCAGTCCGCCCCGTCGCTCGACTTACATAGACAACTCATCGAATCTCTTCTTGAGTTCAAGTATCTTGGATCCACTATACGCCCCAATGGTCAGGCTACGTCCAAAATCCGGAATCGCATTGACAGCGCTAGAACAGCCTACTTACAACTGAGAAACATTGTAGCGAAGGAAGGAAATTAGCCTGAGAACAAAGATATGAGTATTCTAAGCAACCATTCGTGCTATTTTACTTTATGGTTTCGAAATATGGCCGCTGTGATCCGAAGACGCTTGAAAGCTGGAAATTTGCGATCATTGGTGTCTAAGGCTTATGTTGAAAAAGCAGTGGCATGAGCGTATCATCAATGAGGAAACTCGTAAGCGCTGTTACGGTCTTCTGAAGCTCACAACGCTCATCCAACGCCGCAGACATCAGTGGTTCGGTCACGTCCTCCGCAGACCAGACACGGACTTCACTAGGGCCGTGGTTTCACCCTCGCCTTGCAAGGGATGGTATCGTCGCCGTGGTGGACAATTGAAAAGGTGGATCACTGCAGTGAAATCAGACGTCGATCTTCTGGGACTGCATGTTGCGCATGGTGCTCGTCACTGGAGGAGTCATGGGATCAGTAACTGCTTGGAGCTTGCCGCCGACCGCCAGAACTTGGGCAGCTGCAATTCGCGACATTCATGAAGCCGGCTCATCCTGTCGCAGGAGCTAGCCGAAGTAAAGTAAAGTAAGTAAACAGAACCCCCGGCTGCCTGGCTCTGAGCACAAGATAACCAGATGGATTATTAGACGCAAACTCATCATCATCATCATCAACAGCAGTACATCAGCCATTTGAACTGATGCTTCGCTGCCATACAACCATGAGGACCTATGAAATAAAGAATAAGAAGAGGGAGAGAAGGGGACTTACCTGAAAACCTTAATGCCCTAAGCAAACATTCTGGGTCAAGGCGCATACACCTTGTGTTAATAACATACCGTCACAAACAGCTGGCTATCGTGCAAAGATAAGGCGGCATCGGCGAGACAGCTTCCTTGCGGATTTCACTGCCACGCGTCATAATCAGCCATTACCCCGCAGATAACTCAGCACCAAACACACTTTAAACAGACAATCCGATTAGGAGACGGCAGCAGACGCGCCACTG